GTCTGCCAAGCCGCCTAGCCACGTGTCCGCACGTCGCTTTTCTTGTTGGGGCCTTCTTCGTCACGCGGTCTGACACGTGAGATCTTCACAGTCTGTCCGCCGTCCGTAGCTTCAGACGCAATGCGCCGGGGGAGGGGGTCTGTTGCCCGCCCTCGTATCTTAAGGCTGCACCGCCGCTAACAGTGTTTTGCGGGTTGACGCACCGCAGTGCGCCTCGCGGACGGACCCTGGTCCGCCTACTTGTCCGGTCTCTCTCTCTCTCTCTCTCTCTCTCTCTCTCTCTCTCTATCCCCATCATTATTTCTCTCTGTCTCTCTTTCTCTGTCTCGCTTTCGCTTTCGGTGTCTACATATCTCCCCCTCGTTATTTCTCTCCTTCTTTTTTTTCTCTCCCTCTCTCTTTTTCTCTCTCTCTCTCTCTCTCTCTCTCTCTCTCTCTCTCTCTCTCTATATCTCTCTCTCTATCTCCCTCTCTCTCTTTCTCTCTCTCTCTCTCTCTCTCTCTCTCTCGCTCTCTCTCTCTCTCCCTCTCATCTCTTTCTTCTTTCTCGCTATGTTTCTCTCTCTTTCTCTCTCTCTCTTTCTCTCTCTCTCTCTCTCCATCTCTCTCTCGTCTCTCTCCCTCTCCTCTCTCACATCTCTCTCTCTCTCGTCTCTCTCTCTCTTCTCTCTGCTCTCTCTCTCTCTATATAATATATTATATCATACCCTCTTTTTACGCATCCCTCGCTCGCCGCTCTTTTTCTCTCTTCTCTCTTGTCCCCTCTCTCTCCTCTCTCTCTCTCTCCTCTCTCTCTCTCTCTCTCTCTCTCGCTCTCATCTTTCTCTCTCCTTTTTCTCACTGTCTCTACCTCTCTCTTGTCTCTCTCTCTCTCTCTCTCTCTCTCTCTCTCTCTCTCTCTCTCTCTCTCTCTATATATATATATCTCTCTCTCTCTCTCTCTCTCTCTCTCTCTCTCTCTCTCTCTCTCTCTCTCTCTCTCTCTCTCTCTCTCTCTCTCTCTCTCTCTCTCTCCCTCCTTATATATTCCTCTTTCGCGTTCTCTATGCATCTGACTATCCCTCCGTATGGTTTACGGATTGCGCAAAAATGTCTCTGCTCGAAGCGTCGAGGATCGCCCCGAGCGCGGCACTGACCCCCGGGGGAACTGGGACTTACCCGTGGGCTGGCCAGAATCGCCGCGCTTCTTGCGGATAGGCTAGCGCAACGAAACAGCACTCAGGTCATGAGCTCCTGAAACAAGGCGAATGGGTCGCCTTCATCCTGGTTGGCATCGGCGTTGAACTCGCCGAGCATCATCTTTGAGAGCAGGCTGTCAAACGTCTGCCGACGGAGAGTGTCGTCGCGAATCGACATCACACACTTCGAGGCCGCCACTCAGATGGCCTCTGGGACGCCATGCATCTTCATCGTCGCGCGGAACGCTGCAATGCTCCGTGCAATCATTTTGTAGAGAGTATTATCCTGCGAGTACTGCTTCATGATCCTCTCTTCGTAGGACTCAAGCTCTTTCTCGACCGCCGCCCTGCGCAAGTCGGGATCAGCTCCAAGAACCTCATTGGCGACAATCGGTGTCTCCGCCACCGCACGTGTCGAGTGCGCGGTCAATTCCAGCACTGGTGCTCCGAAATTCCTCTGTGCTTCCGTAACCTCGGTGATCTTCACCGGGGTTTTCTTGCGCTTCTTGCCCAAGCCAAGGGCACGAGTCTCAGCCTCCATCAGGCGGTGCTCTGCAGCAGCTTTGTCTTTGCCAAGCTTCTGTTTCTTCCTTGGGCCCTCTTCATCGGACTCCCCGACCTGGTCGATCTCCATCTGGATTCGCCCAACCATCGTCGCCTCCGTGTCTCGTTCCATGGTGGCTTCCTGGTACGCCGTTGCATCGTCGGCGTTCTCCCAAATGAGCTTCTCCTGGAGCAGCTTCATGTGTCCGAGGAGGGCATTCGAGCACTCCACGGCAATGTCGTTCGGCAGTCCGACGTAACGCACGAACGCATCAATGACACGTTTTCCTGACTTCCCCTCGAAGAAGTTTAGCATCCCCGGGAGCGGCTGCTCGGCCGCCCCTGTGGTCTGAATATAGGTCCTGGTCCGGAAAGCTGCTTTGCCTTGCCGAGGATCCCGATGGCGCGGCCCTGAGCGGAGAGGGCCGTGATCGGACGGAAGTCCACGGTTTGTGGATCGCGGGCTACGAGCACGCTGACGGCTCCCGTCGGCGAACAGATCTTGATGGTGCTGAGGCCTGAGTCTCTCACCATACGTGACACGTTCACCTTCTGGTTCTCCGTGAAGTCCGTGTAGCTGATCATCTTCAGCTCTTCCCTGAAAGCCGCGCCCCCTCCGATCAAGCGAGAGCCTTTGCCCTTGCCTTTTCCCTTCGCGCCTGTTGACATGCTGGCGCTGAGTCAAAGCCCTCTCGATATTGCAGCGAGAAGAGGTAGCTACTGCTTGTACTCGACAGCGACGTGGGAGTGCTTCCCAGGAGTAACAACTGTGAGGTTGTGTTTGCATCTAACTATCCCTCCATAGTATACATCCGTTGTTATCCTTCTCTCTCTCTCTCTCTCTCTTTATGTCCCTCTCTGTCTCTCTATCCCTCTCCATCTATATATATCCCTCTCTCTTTCCATCTCTCTCGTTCGATGTCTATGTATTTAACCCTCTGACTGTATGTCTCTACCCCTATATCAATGTCTCTCTTGCTCTCTCTCTCTCTCTCTCTCACTCACTCTCTCTTCCTGTCGATATCTGCTTCTCTCTCTCTCTCTCTCTCACTCTCCACATATATATATATATACACCAACCTCTCCATCTCTCTCTCCCTACCTCTCTCTCTCTCTTTCTCATTCGTTCGATGTTGATGTATCTCAATATCCTTCTCCACTTCTACATGAGCATGCACATACCCAAGTATGGATGTACAGAAATATATACTTACAGCTGCGGTCCCTACGAAGGTAGGTACAACTATCTTCACCATAGCCAGCCTCATATTCAACTCTATATATATATATGTTTCACTCCCTCTCCTAACGCCCGCAGTGGTCGGGATCGGCCTTATTCCCCCCATTTCCTCCTCCTCCTCCTCCTCCTCCTCCTCCTCCTCCTCCTCCCCTTTGGCCACGCCCCCGCTGAGATCCTCCACCTCGGGCAGCTGCCCGCCCGCGCGGCCCGGGCCTCCGGCCACCTCGGCCGCGGCGGCGCCGCGCGCCAGCCCCTCCAGCAGCGCCCGGGCCACGAGGGCCTCGAGAAGAGGAGGAGGAGGAGGAGGAGGAGGAGGAGGAGGAGGAGGAGGAGGAGCAGAGACGAGAGGCGGGGAGGAGGGGAGAGGAGGATGAGGAGGAGGAGAAGGAGGAGGAGGGGAGGAGAGGAGGAGGAGGAGGAAGGAGGAGGAGAGGGGAAGGGGAGGGGAGAAGGAGAAGGAGGAGGAGGAGGAGGAGGAGGAGGAGGGAGAGTAGGAGAGAGGAGGAGGAGGAGGATCAGGAGAGAGGAGAGAGAGGAGGAGGACGAGAGGGGAGGAGGAGAGAGGAGAGAGAAGGAGGGCGGAGGAGGAGGAGAGGAGGAAGGAGGAGGAGGAGGAGGGAGGGGAGGGGCCCCCGAGGGAGGCAGAGGAGGGAGGAGGAGGAGAGGAGGAGCAGGAGGAAGGAGGAGCAGGAGAAGGAGGAGGAGGAGGAGCGGAGGCGGAGGAGGAGAGGAGAAGAGAAGGAGAGGGAGAGGAGGAGGAGAGGAGGAGGAGGAGGAGGAGGAGGAGGAGGAGGAGGAGGAGAAGGGGGAGGAGGGAGGAGAAGAGGATGGAGAGGAGGAGGAGGAGAGGAGAGGAGGAGGAGGAGGAGGAGGAGAGGAGGGGGGTCCGACCTTCCGGTCCAAGGGGGTATCCGAGCTTCCCAGACCCCCTCGAGTAGTGAAAAAATCATGACGAAAGGGCTTTCGCCATTTTCGGCCTCTGGGGGCCTTCACCGGGCCTCGGAACCGCCAAAAAACGCCTCGGGATGAAAAACGGGTCCTGGGCAATGAATCCGGAACATTGGGGGTCACGTCATGGAAAAAATCATGACGTCGGGGGTCTGGGGGGCTAGGTCGGGCATGTCCTCCTACACGGGCGCGTTCGCCCAGAATTCGTCTTGCATGTCTCACCACGGGAATCTTTTCACCACGGGCATTTTCGGGATTTGCTTCACCACGGGCGCTCCTACAGGGTTCGGTCGGGTTTTTTGTTTCACCACGGGCGTTTTCGCCCAGATTTTGGCACCTGGACCCTCACAGATCGATCCGGCTCGAAAAATGTAACAGAAAGATGGGGTCTAGGGTTAGGTCGGGCATGTCCTCCTACAGGCAGATTTGGGGCGGGAGAAAAATACCCCAAAAAATTCAAAAAACAATCAAAAATAGTCGAACAATTGTCCCCATATCATTGTTGAAAACTATTTTTTGGAAACCCCTCCTGTAGAGGGGCATGCCCAACTTAAGCCCAGGGGGGCACCAGCAAGCCCGCTCTGGCTCCAGGATTTCTCAGATGGCCGATCCCGGAAATCCTGAGCACAAAACTGTTGTCATCTCTTGGGAGGTCGACTTTTGCTTCCGCCGGCTTCCGCCGAGCTTCCGCCGGCTTCCGCCTGCGGAGCCGCCGCAGCTTTACTTCCGCCGTTTTTCGCCGACGCTCCGCCGCCTTCTGCCGCAGAGGGAACGACAACTCCTTCTGTCCTCGAAGGCGAGGCCTTTTCTGGAACGCTCCATATGTTGGAGCACATGTCCTCGATGCTTTGCGCAGTACGCGGCCCCCGGAAGTGCCGACCCCGTCCCCAGGACCTGTTTTTTTCGTCCTGGCCGTTGCTGGACCGTCCCGGGGCCCGGTTGGGGCACCCAGGGGCCCGCAACGGCCAGAAGCCTCCCGTCCTGACCTGCTGCAAGACGCGAGCATGCCTGGGCTTCCAGTCCAGGCCCAGATGTGGACGGGAAGCAGCGCTTACCTGCGCCTGTGCCGCTGTCCCCACCCTGGGCCTTGG